ATAATTTTTCACGAGCTCACTTTGTCCAACTTTATTTAAGATAATTTTGGAAGTATCATATCTTTATCGACAGTTTTCTTCATTTTATAATATTACAAAAATTTTAGTCTTCTAAATAATATTTTTTGTTTGTATGATTTTTTCAAGCTTAGACTTCTGAATTAATCATCTACCGCTGAGTTAGTGAGCCATTTTTTAAATACTGTGTATCATTTCAGTATCAAGTAAACAAACTGGAGCTCAGTAGGAATCCTTGTATTAACACCGTTCTTCCAAATTCGTTTTATTTCTTTACGAATTTCTTATTTTATAAAATAATTGTCTTCAATTTCATTGTAGTTAATAAGGTCATTACATAGTCTTTTTCTTGCATTTTTAAAGAAAATCGTTTCTAGAAGCCATTTATTACCTCCATATTTTCCGTGTTTGTTTAATGAATGTCTTTTTCAATATTTTTTCTTTTTTACTTTATACTTACGACAGTATGAAACCTTAGGTCTCCCATTTGCGTCTGTCTGTCTGTCGTCTGTGGTATATCTGATTCTAATTATTAGATACATGATCTTCAAAACTACTGCACCGACTGTTGTTAAATTTTATGTGAACTGTAAGAAAATTATGTAGATGCTAAAACGCTACTCATTTGTCTAATCAATCCCACTAACAATGTCATGACGTCGACTCATAATTTTGTCCAGTAATGTTATTTAAGTTTTATAAAATAACATAATCTTACAGATGTGCTTCACCCTAGATATGCAGATATTTTGGAAAAAAATCAAAATTGTTTAACATTTATAATTTCACTTTGAAACTGCAAAATGATTTCTCCTAAACCTTGCAAAAGTTTTAAAGTTGTCGTAAGTATGGTGAATCTTTAATCAAAGTTTATTCGTTTACTGGCAAACTCAAATTTTATACAGGGTGATGAAAAAATGACGTATTTGCTTAGTTTTCAGGTCGAAATTTGTAAGTGTTTAGAATCTACGTAACCATTTATCGGACCGTGCCATTTTCGGGAGATTCGAATATTAAAAAATAAAAAAAAATCAGGATATTTTCTACATTTTTTCTGGCTCCATATTCTTATTTAGGAGGTTCAAATTAGGAACAGAAGCCATTTTTAGGCAAATGGAGGTACGTTTAGCGAAGATATTGCAAAAAACCCAAATTCGAAAATTTTGACCGGAATAGTTCCGGAAAAATTCCTCAAAAAATAAGCACGTTTCAATCTGCCCGAAATTTAATTTCTGACTAATTTTGTCTAGCTGAGTCCGTTTTGGGTATCGGCTGTTGAAAATTTTCACTTTCCTACACAAAATCTTGTTTTAACCGATACTCGAAAACCAAATTTTGAGTTTGATGGTCCATAACTTCTGAACGGAAAATGGAATTCTTTTCCGGCTTTTACTATTCGGTTTCTTGAAGTTTTCTAATCGAAGTAGTTAGTTTGTAGGCCGAAATCCTTGCCTATTTAGAATGTACATACACACTTATCGGAAGGTGTCATTTTCGGGAGGCTCGAATATTAAAAATTAAAAAAAAAATCAGGAGCTCTTCTACATCTTTTCTGGCTCCATATTCTTATTCAGGAGGTCCAAATTAGGAACAGGATTAATTTGTAGGCAAATCAAGGTACGTTTAGCCAATTTATTAGCTTGAAATTGTCGAAATCCGAAAATTTTGATCGGAAAGTACTGGAAAAATTCCTCAAAAAATAAACATGTTTCAATCTGCCTGAAATTAAGTTTCTAGACTAATTTTGGCCAGCTGAGTCCTATTTTGGCATCGACTATAAAAAATTTTCACTATTATAAACCAAATCCTGTTTTAACCGATACTCGAAAATTAAATTTTGAGTTTGACTGTCCATAACTTCTGAATGGAAAATGGGATTGTTTTCCGGTTTTTACCATTTGCTTTCTTGAAGTTTTCTAATCGAAGTAGTTAGTTTTTAGGCCGAAATCCTTGCCCATTTAGAATCTCCACACACATATATCGGAAGGTGTCATTTTCGGGAAGCCCGAATATTAAAAAAAAAAAAATCAGGGTTACTTCTACATTTTTTCTGGCTCCATATCCTTATTTAGGAGGTCCAAATTAGGAATAGGAGTAATTTTTAGACAAATGGACGTACCTTTATCCAAGACATTAGCTTCTAAAAGATCAGAAAATTTTGACCGGAAAAGTTCCGGAAAAATTCCTCAAAAAATAAGCATGTTTCAATCTGCCTGAAATTAAGTTTCTAGATTAATTTTGCCTAGCTGAGTCCATTTTTGGCATCGGCTGTTGAATATTTTCACTATTTTATACGAAATCCTTTTTTAACCGATACTCGAAAACCAAATTTTGAGTTTGACTGTCCATAACTTGTCGTAAGTATGGTGGATCTTTAATCAAAGTTTATTCCTTTACTGGCAAACTCAAATTTTATACAGGGTGATGAAAAAATGACGTATTTGCTAAATGGTACGTTGTTAAGAAACTCCGCAGAACTCGGAAAAAAGTGGTTAAAAAAATGTCTGAACCAAATTTTTGAATTTTAATGTGAATTTAAATTCGGATAAAAATTGTCAAAAATGACGTTGTGAATTATATTCAGACAAATTATTATTAAATTATTAATAACTAATTGTTTAATTGTCTTTTAGCCAATGTAGTTTATTAAAACAAATTAGAATTGGAAGTTAATTCTTCAACTTTGACGTTTAATATTTTCAAAGGTTTGGTGCAAGAATTTTTAAACCATTTTATTTGAGATCTTCAAAGCCTTCTTAATAACATATCATCGAGGACATACCTCATTTTGTCATCACCCTGTATGTTTCTAGAAAGTTGGGTATCTTGGATTTTCTGATCATATTTTTTCGACTCATTTTCTTTTATTTTATATACTGTTGTTCCGTTTCACTAGGTTTCTAGTCGTTTAAGAATTGTCTATAGCTTGTTAATTTTTCTACCATAATTTCTTCAAACTCTGACCTAACCTAACCTGATCCGACCTGACATGACATGACATAACCTGACTTGACCTGACTGGACCTGACCTGACTCGGAATTAATCGACAATCTGGTCAACACACTGATCCACGCATCTCCGAACAAGTGAGTTGTACTACTCTGATTCAACCTACTTTGTGCTAATCCACCCTGAACCGAAGTTTTTTCGGACACAAAACCACATCTAAACTATGTAGGTATTAAAACCTCACTGTTTTTATTCAGGTAACGAATTTTGTCGGGTTTTTGACCATATTGTGGAGTTTGATTTGGCTACGTTATTGGAAATAATTTCCATTTGCTATGTTTTTCTGGTTTGCGTACTAGTAAAAGTACAAAGCGTTTTTTCATAAATCGTAATGACGACTCGCCGAGTGATCCCAATGCAGCGTCATAACTCTGCCCTCTAAAGCCTCCCAGCAACCGTTCATTGCAGGCCAGCTCCCACATTCATCCCGCCTCCAAAGTGTTGGAAAAATAAACCATCTCGAGCCTCCTAACTGCCTTCGTTAAAACTCCAAGGTGCTTTAGCCCGGCTCGAGCAAGAAGCACAGCACCGAGATAATTTAAATACCGCACCATGTTTGCAGTAATAATAGGGAAGCAAGCAATCGTATTTGCCCGTCACAAATATTCCTCAAAAAATCCGTCGAACACCATGACGGCTGCTCGCCCTCGCCGGAAATTTTAATTAACTCCGGCATTCCGATGGCGACTTAGTGACTTGCAACATATCCTCCCAATATTTTTTCCATTTATAACCATTACAAGTTGAAGAATGTAATTTTGTTTTCCAGAGACGGCGATATTAAAATTGATTGTTTTCGTATTTGGATGGCTCAAAAGAAATGTAATATCCGTATATTACGGCAATATTGTCGGAAGAAATTTTCTAATTTTGCTCGCGAGGCGGACTCCAATACCTCTTCGTCCTGAAGCACTAGTCTAGATTTTCAGGTTTAATAAAAGATATTGCTGTACACACCTACATACAGATGTATGGGATGAATATGAGAGAGTCCGTGATTCTGGGATCGCTGATTATATTGGATTTTTTGCGCGCAGACAAAGCGAGCGCCGACTCGGGGGCAGAATTACTTTCCGCCAGTCGACGGCTCGAGAATTGTTTATTTCGACGCACAAAGACCGACGAGTAATTCACCAAACATAAAACTCTCCGAGGGCGATCACTGGCGTTTTTGAGGAAGAGCAGCGGGTCCAGGGCGGACCCTGGTCAAACGCAACGCAATCCTTTTCTTAAATCGCACACTAAATGTTGACGGTATCCATCGTTTAACGACCCTGTGTGGTCGTTAAACGCTCAAAAATCGAAAAAATTAATCGTCGAGCACTCCGGAGATTTACAACCAATTAACTCAATAAAATTTGTCGGTGTAATTTCGTGTTAATTGCGCAGCCCCTTCATAACTCCTCGGCCCCGTCCTCCGATAATCATAAACACTTAATTCGACCATCGCCATAAAAATTCCTCCCAAACTTCCTCGAGGTGTCATCCATCAATTAGTGAGTCCATAAAGATTAAAGCGTGCGCTGCAGGTGTCGAATTCGCTCCAAGTCGGAAAAATCGTGGTGTTGACCCCATCCAGCACTCCTCACATGTTTTACAATGGAACTTCCACAAAGGCTTCAAGATTGATCGGGCTCACACCGCTCGCACCCTTTCCCGGTGAACAGCCCCTCGCAGTGCCGCGTTTCCCTGGCAACCGGGGTTTGTGGCCATTTGAGCCCCTTTATCCCGCAGTATTCATCTTCGACAATTGAATGAGTATTCAAGTAGATAATGATATTTGCATGCTGATGATCTCTCTAAGTGGTCGTCTAATCGATGTACCTGCTTCTGGTAATCACGTCGATGACGGTATCGCGTGCAATAAAGCACTTTTAACCCGTGCTGCAAAGAAAAGTACCACGAACGCTGCACAACGCGTTCTCAGTTTGATCAATTATTTTTCGTTTGCAGCTCATCTCGGCGGCTTTGCCTGCCGCCCCACCTGCCCTCCCCACGTGTCGCCGTCCCCGGCCGCTTTCCAATTACCGCTTCTTGTTCGTTTGCGGCGTGCCCTCGATCCACGTCGGCGGCGAACGAGCACACACTCGACATCAAAAACGTCTTGTGTGCGGGATGTGAGGAGCCGGCCGCCGCCGCCCCCCGAATGTGGAGTGATGTCGGGCCGGAGTTTGCGTCGCCGTGGCAACGGTTTCCCTCCAGGTTAAAACCTTATTGGATATGTTGATCGTTTTATTTTATTTTTCCACTTTTTCCCTGCATTTACATTTTCTATCCGGAGCCGCCACCATTTTCCGATGCGCGCCTCGCCTGGATATTGTATCAGATATATAGGGGCCGCACCCCCGCCCCCCACTCAATCAACTATTTTTGCGTCAGATTTCTTTCATATTCCGTGCCGGCACAAATCCGATTTGCTTTTGGAAAATTCTCTGGACGGCGAATTAATGGACGGCCAATTTGAAGCGCTAAAATCTAATAACTTTTTTAAATGTCGGAAGCGTGCGAGCGCGCTCGCGAACGCAATAAAAATATCGGCGAGAAATATTAATAATTAATTTCCAGGGACAAAACGGAGGCGGCGGCGGCGGCGGTCTGAACCGAAATCATCTGCTTAAAGTGGTTTATTATATTAGAGCAAAGTATATTAGGAACAAACAAGGATAACTCGGACAATCACCGAAAAAACACCTGCAAGGAACTTCTACTACTCTGATTTAGTCTACTTTGTGCTGATATATCGTCATCAAGATGGTCAGACTATTTTGAAACACTTTTGTCGAGCGATTTAAACTAGTTTTATGTTTTCCCGACGTTTCATGTCTCCTGCAATACGAAAAAACAAATAATCTTCTAGACTACCGGGCCGATTTTTGTCAAATTTGCAAAACGATGATATGACGTCATCTCCAACTTTTACAATAGTAAAGTTTTTTTGATTTTATAAAATAAATTATTTACATTTATATATTTACGTGTGGTTTATGAATACGTGTTGACTTTTTACCCTGGGCTTCCTGATTTGTGTAAAAAAATCAAAACCTTTTAAGTTTATGGGAAACATAATTTATCCGTTTACAAGCCACCTAAAAACTAATGACGTCATCTTACAATTTTGCCTAATAAAGTGGTACTGAATTTTATTATGAATCCATTTTGAGTTATAAAAAAAAAATAAAAATTGTGTAATAACATTTTGCAATTTAACTTTCAAACTGCAAAACGGGATGCAAACGTTTCATGGCTAGCTAAATACAAGCCAAAAAATAAAAATAAATCGCAAAATTCAAAACAACGAAAAATTAAAAAATCTAAAAATTGAAAAATCGAAAAACTTTAAAATGGAAGAATAGAAAAATTGCAACAATGAAACACCGAAAAGTTTAAGAATTTAATTCGGGAAATCGAAAATCGAAAAAAGGAAAAATTGAGTGACGAAATATCCCAAAATTGAAAACAACGAAAAATTAAAATAACTAAGAATTGGAAAATAGTTTAAAAATTGGAAAACATTGAAAAGAGAAAAATTGCGACCATGAAACATCGAAAAGTTTAATATTTGAAGAAATTGAGAATAAAAAAAATAATAAAAAACTTAAAAATTAAAAAATTAGCTACAAAAAATCGTAAAATTGAAACAAGAACTAACATATCTCAAAAATAAAAATTGAAAAATATCAAATCGAGGAAATGGAATTTGAAAAAAGTGAAAATTTGAAGAATTGAAAATCCAAAAATTGAAAAACTGAAAAATTAAATACATAATTGAAAAATTGAGAAGTCGAAACACTGAGAAATTGAATGATTAAAAATACTAAGATGTAGGTATCATTGAAGCATCGAAAAACTGAACAATAAAAAGATCTAATAATTTTTGAAAAATTGCAAAACAAAATCAAAAATTAAAATTTGAAAAACAAAACATTGCAACGTTGAGTAATTGAAAATTTAATATATATAAAAGTTGAAAAATTGCAAATCGAAAAATTAATTAATCGAGAGATTAAAAATGGAAAAATTAAAATAAACTAAAATGAGGATTTGAGGATTATGGTGTTCTGTGGATTTGACGATTATTATGTTTTGACAATTTGAGGATCAGAGTGTCTTGAGGATTTGAGAATTATTGTGTTCTGACAATTTGAGGTTTATGGTGCTCTGAGGATTTTGAGGATTATGGTGTTCTGAGGATTTGAGGATTATGGTCTTCTGAGGATTTGCGGAATTATTGTGTTCTGACAATTTGAGGTTTATGGTGCTCTCAGGATTTTGAGGATTATGAATTCTGAGGATTTGAGGAATATGGTGTTTTGAGGATTTAAGGATTGTGGTGTTCTGAGAATTTGAGGATTTTGCTGTTCCGAGGATTTGAGGATTATGGGGTTCTGAGAATTTGAGGATTATGATGTTCTGAGGATTTGAGGATTATGGTGTGGTGAGAGTGAGGATTTTGATGTTCCGAGGATTTGAGGATTATGGTGTTCTAAGAATTTGAGGATTATGGTGTTCTGAGGATTTGAGGATTATGGTGTTCTGAGGATTTGAGGATTATGGTGTTCTGAGAATTTGAGGATTTTGATGTTTTGAGGATTTGAGAACTATGGTGTTTTGAGAATTTGAGGATTATTGTATTCTGACAATTTGAGGATTGAGATGAGAAATTGACTAATTAAATAAAAAAAAATAAAAAGATCTAATAATATTTGAAAAATAGAAAAATTGCAAAATCGTAAAATTGAAGAACAAAAAATTGAAAAAAAAAAAGAATTAAAATTTAAAATATTTAGAAATTGAAAAATCGGGAGACTAAAAATCGAAAAGTTAATTACGAGAAATGAACACTTTCCAAAAATAAATTATTATTATTAAATAATCTAAAAATTTAAATCTACAAATTGAAAAATTAAGAAGCGATATAATGAAAAATCAAGAAACTAAAAGTTGAAAAATTGAAAATCGAGAAAATGAAAAATCAAAACCAAGGAATTAAAAATGGAAAAACTGAAAAGTCGAAAGTTTGAAAAACCAAACAATATAACTGAAACTGAAAATCGCAAAATCGTAAAACTGAAGAAACCAAAAAAATTTAAACTAGAAGAACTGGAAAATTCAAAAGTTGAAACATCTAAAAATTTAAAATTGACAACTAGAAAAATTGCAAATCGAAACCGAAAAATTAAAAATTGTGACACAAAAATACATTTGCTTGCTCACTGTAGATACAAACCCTGAAAATATCAATTCATATTCCATTTTTACTTCCCGAATGTAAGCTAAGGAAGTATTGTAATCGAGTCCATCGAGTGACTGGCTACTTTTGTGTCTTTTCGACATTCAATGACCCATTCAATACGAAAATATAAGTTTCTCGTTTCCGTCTGTCTGTAGGATTGCATTGTACTTACTCAAATTCATTCATATACGTGTCCTTGTTAAATGTTGATGACGTCATCAAAAAAATTTTACGTGGAAAAACTCGGCAAAAACCTGTACTTTAACCATCCACTCATATATTAATTTTAGCTAAGAGTTTTTTTTTTTAATAGAGAACAAAACCGAAAACCAATTTTCTTTGTTTTTCGAAAAACGCTTGTAAAAATATCTAAATATAATTTTCGAAATTGTCGAAATATTTTAGTAACATTTAAGAAACTCGTTGCGTGTATCTTGCAAGGCGTAGAAGAACGATTTAAAAAAAAATAAATTAAATCGGTTAAAAAAGCCAAATTTGTTGTCCCCCGAAGACAGTCCGATCCGTTCACGGCCTAGAAAATAGAGCAGATGTGGCCAGATTAGCCCAAAGATTTATTTGCCATCGTTATAAATATTATTGCCTTAGCCGTATGCTGATTTTATGGCCCAAAATGACTCCTGCTATATTTATAAGCCCGATCTTCGATGATTTATATTTCAGTCGCAGTAACGGGCCTTTACAAATGGGCCATTAAATCTAATAGCTTCAGGAACAAGTTAATTAAGCTATCTAGTCGTACAAACTTATGTTTTCTACCATTTTTGGGCATCTTTTGGCTATTCATTGGCTTTTTTCGGCGTCGCTTTTCCAGTTTCGTGTATTGATTAATGGAACGTGGAGAAATGTTCACGTTAACAAGCGGCGTTTCAAATTTGTTCGCTTTTTTATTTATTTTTATTGATTTAAGATGACGGCTCGAAAAAATCTACGCTGAATACGAAATAGTCAAGATAAACAGCTTCATCCGGCACGTCTGTACCGCGCATATTTCAGCTAGCAATGCGTGACTATCTTCAGGTACGTAAAAAGTGGAAAGAAAGGTCTGTTTTAACTTAATTAGAGACATGAGATGTTTTACACAGGAACCAACTAATCTTATTAGATTCCATCAGACAATTATTAGAGTTTTATTTGTAATTAAAATTTTTGTGTGGACGGGAGGAAAACGGCGGCAATTATGGCGGGATTAATCCAATTTTCTGAGCAAGAAAAAACGAAGAGCAAAAACTGCACATACCTCCGTCGGTGCTTTCTTATTTTGATTTATCTTCGAGCCGTGTTGCAATGCAAATGTAATTCATGGGTCGGAGGTTTCTGAGTTTTCCGTCTTCGGACGGTTACTTGGCTGAAAAACCGCTGACTCACGGTGAGTCGGACCCAAAAATCCGATTTATCACACAGCCTAGACGGATGGGTGCAAGTTTCACGTCCCCATTATTACCATATTTTTGGCCAAACAAAACTCAACAGTTAGAGACCGCAAACATGCATAGGTTTTCGGATTCCCATCGCATGTTAAATCGGCCCCGGATTGATTATTCACGCCTGGCCCCTGCATCGGATTAGCGATCATCTCTTTACCTGTGCTTAATTTCTGGAGGAGCTTCCATCTGCGCTGCCGTCTCGACGGCCCCATTCAATTTAGAAAAGTTCTTTGGGTTAAATCCATCATTATATCAGGGCTGAGGGCGAAGATCCGGCTCGCACGCTTCCGAACAATAGACGTCAAGAGGCACGTACAAGACAAGGGCTGCAGGGCTCCAGGGATGTGTAGATTTACCGGCTCTTCCTCTCCGCATGAAATTCAAATAGGGCCGTTTTCGGTCGATCTCGGATCGAATCCTCGGCGGGTCGCTTTCTTGGCGATTTCGGTGCAGACTTGAAATTGAACTGGCCGAAAAGCAGGGTTTTCGGATTTTACTGGCAAGTCATTGTCATATTTTGTATG